AAATCTCAGAGACATATTCATCCAAAGCTCGTTTCGAATCAGCTACAGCTGGAACATACTTGATCACGACAACTATTGTCGTTAAATAAATAAATATAAATATTATCATTATTATTAATTAATCAATCAAGAATATTAAAATACATACTATGATCTGGATGTTCATCTGGTTTATATAGAATATGATTAGCAGCGACCATATCGTCGACAACACTACTTTTAGAAATTTCTTTTGATCGAAACTGATCAGGTGCAGACAAATTTTTGCCATCATTATTTCCAAGATGATTATAGGAAGCTATACTAACCGGTTTAATACCAGAATTCACCAAAAAGTCTACCAGCACTGATTTAACTTTGGTTTGGCCAGATTTAAAATCATCTCCACCAATATGAACTTGTTCTTTTTCTGCTAATTCAACACAACCTGGTACAAATGTATTTTGTGGCGAGCCATTTATGAACGGTGTTTTTTCTAGAATACAAGCTAGTGCAAAGATTGTTGATGGAGCTATTTCAGAATGGTTCTGTCTAACAGCTTCAATTAGATTTGCAGCAGTGTCATTAACGCCAGGAATAATTGAGGAATAACGTTCTGTATTTGCGGTCCAAACCACAATCACTTTATCAAGCTGGTTATCTAATTTGAATTTTCTAATATCATTACGAATATGTTCAAGATGTTGTTTCTTATCGTTTCCAGAAATAAGATTATCGGCTCTGTCGCTCTGATTTGCAGCTATGAAATCAGGATAATAAATTGAAGGTAACGGTTTAAATTTTTCTAATTCAGGAGCTAGTTGACGCTGAAGGTCATAATCAAGTACTTTTGCACGTTCCATTGCTTTAGCAAGATTATAAGAGTTAATGTCCCAGCCACCTATGACCAAATCATTAGGGTTTACCATCGGAAGTATCTTATTAAAAGGAACATAAACATCATTGCCTTTTTCATCAACACCAAGTTTGAGCGTGGAGGCTTGAACAAGTGAACCAAAATAATTTGGTGACTGTATTCCATCTTTAGTTTTCCATTTAATATTTCGACGATTGGCAATAATACTAGCAGTCAATGTTGAACCGTTATTGCCTCCCCATCCAACCATCATTAGCCTTGTCAATTTTGAATTGATTTATTTCTTTATTAAATGAATTTCTTTACCTCAAAAAAATAAAAAATAAAAAAAAAATAAAAAATTACAAAAAAGACATCTACCCCGTTTTTGGCACCTTTAATTCCGTTTTAAAGGTGTATTTTGTTTCCATTGGTGTTATCATGCTAACTCCATTATTTTTACTGACAATAGAACTATTATATACATAACTTGATATAATGTGTGTGTCCGAATAACTAACATTAGGTGAATTGACTATGAAATTATTATCGTGGAGGGTGGTATTATTGGATGGGGTGTGTTCGGTATTAGGTGGCATTGTTTATTATTAATTATAAAAATTTTTTCGATTTTTTTTTTCAATTTATTAAATTATTTTTTATTTTGCAAAAAAAAAGTTAAAATGTTTTGAAAAAGACATTGTTCCCTATTTAAAAAAAAAAATTAAATTTGTATGCAGAAAAAAAAAAATATTTGATTACAAATTTAATTTTTTTTTTATCAATCAATCAATTGCATTATCATTATCGTCATCATCTCAAAATTTTTCGAAATTTTTTTTTTTAAAACGTGATGACTCGTGACGATTATACAATGTAATGTTCCCAAAAAAATTCGAAGGAAGGTATTCTTTTTTACATGTGATTTCAAGGAACCATAGATTAGATAATCTTCAAAGAAAAACAAGAACAGACTTTGTAGACTGAATGAGATACTCGGATCCTGATAAGGATAATCAAGTTAATATTAAATAAATATTTTCTTTCTTGCTTTTATATATATACTAATTAATATATATATGTATGTGTGTATGTGTGTATGTGTGTATGTATGTATATTAATATATATGTGTATGTTAAAATAGATGTTAAAAGAAATATCACTTGCCATAGATTTTAAGAAAGTCGAGAATGAATGTTGTTGTACTATGTAGATCACGGCAATTTCATAGAGATGTTTTTTAATTTGCTTACACGTTTATAATAAAGGAAGTGATTTTGAGAGATTTTGAAGATGTTGAGGAATCACCATTGATGTTTTTGATTTGATCTTGGTCTATGTTTTCAATGCTGTTACTACGATCTATATACGATACATTATGACTAGAAACAAATATTATTAGTAAATATTAAATTAATAAAAGTTACGTCATTTCAAATTCCTTCCTATTTTCATTTTCATAATTACTACACACCATTTTCTCATACTATGCTTGCCGCTGGAGTTGCTGGACAAAAGTAATACGGTTACGTATTGTCATTCGTAAAGCCGTGGATGTATATTAATATGTAGCTGCAAAGTAAAAGGCTATAATCATAACAGATTATCCGTAAACAATTTTCTTGTTTTCTTTTCTTCCCCAAAAATTGAATAATTAAATGATTAATTAATAATAAAGTTTACAAAATCATAGCACTGTCGGAATTACGCATAATTATAATATTACAGGCACGTTATATAATATAACTGATTTTAGATAAAATTCTCTTATGTCTCTGTCTCATACATCCGTTGTGGTAAAGTTTGACTATATACATGATGATTAATAATGTTGACCCAAGGTTCTTTCTTTGACGAACAAAGAAATTACTATTGTTTCTTTGTATATAAAAGATATCAATCTATTGCTTTAAATGACTGGTATGTCACATCCCTATAAATGAAAATTGCAAATTTGGTTTTTTTTTTTCTTATATTACATAATATTAACATCAATCAATATGTAGCCCATTTTTATAGATAAGAAATTTATAGGTCATCACATTCAGCCACAACCAAATTTGCAAACCGACGAGTGCTACTCTCTATCATACAAGATAATGGTTTTGTTGCAATTTCTTCCATACGCTCTTATTCTTTGATCATTTATTGGTCAATTTTGAAACACCCCTAGTAAGTGAATTAATTTTGCACCCTCGCATTTTGAGCAAAGTAATAAATCTGGAATGTCGAGCCTTGGGTTTTATGAGCGATCGAAGCATAGGCATTCTGCAAAGGAAATTGGGTCTTGCCCATCAAGCAAGACGTGTGATGTTTGTCTTGAAGTTATCATGTCCACAATTCTTACATTATTGTGTTCAATGTCAACATCGGTAATTATGCCAACATTTCCATTGCATGCCTGATGCTGGGTTTGTGATTGTTCAAAATCACCTTTGCTCCAAGTTGTAAACGAATTTATTTAGGAAAATTTGTTCTATTTTTATAAGATTTTCATTATTCTACCATCCTCAAAGTCAAATCGTGAACTTATACTCAATGCGGATAAAAAATTGCAGATTGTTAGGATATAACCCCACCATATTGTAAAGAAACCTACCTCTTCGTCTTGGAATTTCACCTTACAAATTCCAATGGTATTTATTCCTTAAACGTACAAGAATTGCGTGCTAATCGGCACGCAATTTTTGAAAAAATGTAGACCCCTACTAAACAAATAAATTATTAATTGACCCTATATTTCTTTGAGATTTTTTAATAGAAAAAGTTATGGTTTTGTGTACAAACGTTCATTAAATAAATTATTATTATTTTACAGAAGTATTAGCTACTTAAACTTTTAAGAATTTCTATTATGGTATTGCTATGATAGTTTCATTTCATCAATTAATATTATAATAAATTAATAACCTGTAAATAATTATAAATCAGTCTCTT